ATAGTTCACGCATGAATGTGTGTCCAGGAACGATGACTCGGGCAGCAAAAGTGAGCTTCCCCAGGAGGGACTCGAGTTGACGCTGGCCGATGCTGCGCTCGCTGATAGTAGCCATGAGTGGCGCACGGATCTCGGACAGCTTGTCCTCTGGTAGCCGCAGTCTAGGAAAATACCAAGGTCAATGATGGTGATGGCCCTCGAGCTGGGATGGAGCAAAGAGGAGTGCCGAGATACGTGAATGCCCGGAGGGGGGTGGTGAGTTGCTGGTTGGCTGCAGCCAAACCAGTGGAGATATCGAGAAAGTCATCGAGGTAATGAAGCCGGTGATCTATAGCAAACTCGTGCTGCATGATCCAGTTGACTGCTGTGGCTACTGAGTCAAAGACGGCTGGGCTGGAGCGGAGGCCGAAAGGCAGAAAGCGCTCGTAGTAGTAGGGGCCTTCCCAGCGAAGTCCTGACGGCGGACTGGGATCTGCCGAAATGCACTGCGTACATCGAGCTTGGACAAATACACAGGCTGTGGGCATGGCATGATGATGTTGATCGCGTTGTCAATGCTCGCGTAGTGCAGAGAGAGCGGCTCGGCAGGAATGCTGTCGTTCGCGCCGGTGCCTTCCGGACTAGACAGATGGTGGATCATTCGCAGCTTGCCGTTCTTTTTGGGGATGGCACCAATACCAGAGCGGCGCATGAACTGAAATGGAGGTGACGGAAATGGGCCTGTGGTCTCGCTGCGGGCGCAGGAAGCAGCTAATTGCTCGGATATAAATGCCGAGTGAGTGAAAGCCAAGGGTAGATTATTAGAGAAAACCGAAATGTCGTGTTGGCCGGCAGATCCAAGAGTAAAGCCACGGCGCAGCCCATGGAGAACATACGCAACGCATTATTGATATGAGTGGTTACGTAACAGGCGGGCAAAGTGGTCAGCTAGCAGTGTGGTGTCTGCAGAGTGTATAGGAAAGAAGCTACGTACCGAGTCAAGCTATTCAGTAGCCATTCTGCTAGGAGCGGCGGGGTGGCCGATTGGCTCCGCGCTGCTGCTGGTTGCACATGATGCATGGGTGGTCCTTGCCGCACTGGCTGCAGGTGTGGGAGAAGCGGCACGACGACGAAGAACAGCGACCTCCATTGAAGTTGCGGCAGATTTCTTGGCTGTCGCTGGTATGGTTGCGACCACTGGAGGTAAATGCTGCTGGCTTGGGGACGAAAAGGACACAAACCGCCCCTGGATGGGCCGTCTTACATTGAGCGCATTTTGGGTGTGCATGGCCTGTGACAGCTATCTGCCATAGGTTCACGTCGATGGTGTCCAACCTCTTCGTGCCTGGTTACTGGGCCACGAGCAGCCGCAGCTGGCGGTCGTACTCTAGCCACGCGCTTGGGAAGAACTGGCGGTTAGCAGTCAGGATCAACTGCTGGTACGCAATCAGTTCAGCAGTTCAGCAGTGCGGTGTAGGGCAGCAGCCGTGATAACAGACATGTATGTGGTCCATGCCTCGAGCCGGGTAGTTACATGTATAATTATCGTGAACCTTGCGACGCACCTGCTTCGCGTACGGTCATCCGACTCAACGATATTTAGCTGGCTATCGTTATTCGGGCTGTGCACCAGCCGGAATGTTGGGCCGGAAGTGTGCAAGAATTTCAGGCAACCAACTTGAAAAATCTACGAACTCCCCTCGCAAGATACGTTCTTGCACAGCCTTGGGCACAGCTGGTGCAGGTGGCTGATCGGGTGGGTTACAAGGGCTTGGCCTGGCGTAGTGGCGGCAGCAGCCGCATTGCCTTGGCTTTGGGTGAGGAGCGGCACAATGCTCTCCGATAATAATAAAATGGCGGCCGACAAAGCCGACTACGCCTCGTCACGTAGATCTACGGGAGCGCAGATCCCATGTTGAGCCCGCGTCACCTGAGCTGGCGGAGGAGGCATTGGTGCAAGTCGGGCTTCTGGGCTCGCGAGCCGTGTCCGCACTGTCATGTTGCTGGTTCTCCTGGCCGGAGCAGACCTCACTACCAAGGGCTAGTTGTGCCAGCAAACGGTCCTGTAAAATACTTTTACTAAGTTTCTTTTCGGATTCAAGCCGCGCTGAGAAGGCTCATCCAGTAATGTCCGGCATTCTTTGTTTCTGTTATGCGTAGCTCGGGCTCTTCTTCGTTGTGCTTTCCTTCCCCTCTTGGACCTTTCCGAACCTTAGCTTTCCAAGTTGGAAGGTTGTTCGTTTGCGCCTTGGAGAAGTGTTGGAGCTAGGTGTCAGGTCGCCGAATGTCTCAGTACCCCTTGTCCGTTTTGTGCCATTTTGTCGCACTCGCTGACTGTATAAGATCTGGTTACGTTGGTGGACAATTAGTCATAAAATTGTAACATTTCGTCCTTCTTCTTTTCACAATAATTTAATTGGCTCACCATCCGAGTTAAATATTGCACACCTGATGAGCCGTCATGACCTATACGGCGAAACGTACGTCGTGTGGAACTACTTGTTATTGTACATAACTAGTCCATCATACATGTACATGATAGTGGAGTGGTTACGTTGATGGACAGTTAGTCATAACTCGTAACATTTTGTCCTTCTTCTTTTCACAATAATTTATTTGGCTCACCATCCGAGTAAAATAATGAATAGAATGGTCCTTTTTTCCTATAAGGAAGTAAGGTTTTCTGTTTTCCATGTTGATCTCTAGCATGCATGGACACCTTGGTATGGGGATACTCATGTATTTTGTTGTACTTATGGTCACTTGCAAGTACGAAAAAGGCAAAATTTCCAAACTTTGAGGCTCCGCAAGTACAAATGAAGGGAATATGCATCCCGTGTGCCAAAATAGCCCTTTCCCAAAGATGCCATAATTGTCCGCAACTTACATGTACATGTATGCTTTTCGGAACCGTGCCAAAACAAGTGTTATTTGCTGAAATCGCATTCATATTTTCAGAAAAAGCTCAAAAAGTTGCTAATATCGCAATTGGAGAGCTCTTGTGCATAAAACCACCAAAAGGAGCAGAAGTGCAGCGACAGCAAACTCGCGTACACTCCTTCCTGCTATGAACCACCACTTTACACAGTTCTGCATGTACACGTGCAGGTACACGTGCAGGTAGATGTAGTAGCTTGTTGTATATACATTGTACATGCATCCTACATCATTCCAGTGCATGGAAAGAGAACGCACATTATCAAAACTACCGTGAATCTACTGTTTCTCTGAAACGAGTCTGAAGGCAGGCGAACAATGAGCGAGCATGCATTTATCCGACATGTAGCCCTTGACTTGACCTTTTGACCCCATGCCAATAGTTCGCGAAAATGAAGAAATCTGTGAAAGAAGTGATGAGCAATAGGTGAGCAAAGAAAGAGAAAAAGACATAGTCTAGGGCAGAGCTCTGCGCTTGAGCATATGATTGTAAGCGTGCAGAACTGGGATAATACATGTAAATGATGAAAAATGTGCCAGAGATAAGCTTCTAAAGAATATGATGTGACGCTACATATTCAACGGAATTCCACTGCAGTGAAACCAATGCTCGTAAAACTGTTTGTGCAGCTCTTGCTTAAATTCGCTTAAACTGGTTAAGGAGGTGATCTTAGGGGTCAGACAATTCCAGAGGGTGCTGTATTTATGGAAAAAGAGATTTGAACAGCGTTGGCCATGGTTTGTCAATATCAGCTTATTGGGACGTCGTGCACTGGGTTATGGCGGGCAATTCCTCGAATTTTGCTCCATTTCTTTATTCCCATACCAGATATGCATGAAACTTACCAGAAAAAGTACCGAATTCTGACAATTTTTCTGCCCGCATAATCCGCCGGTGACTAGCCACACCCCCGACCCCCCTCCGGCCGATTCAGCTTCAACAGCCGTGCTACGACCTGATCTCCAATTTGACAGCAGAAATGCACAACTGTAGCGCCGCAGCCCCCCCCCCCCCTCACCACAAACCTGGATACGCCACTGACAACAACACAGAACACCGCCCGGAACTGTGATTCAAAAAAAGTTGCCACTTCAGTGTGCTCAGTACGTACCAGTGCGGTAAAACACCAAAATTGCAAAGGACTCGTTTGGCACAAAGTATTTTCCAACAACCTGCAAATACTTCATGGCCAGCTAGGGTACTGTATGGCGAGCGTAAGAGGAGGCTGGTAACTTCTCTTTTGCCAATGAACACAGCACACACCACGACTAGCGCACTCCGCTGTACCGTCTAGCACTAGACGTGCATGCTAGAAGCAGTAATGCATTTTGGGAAACAGAAACAATAAAAAGCCAGGAAATGTAGCGAGGCAAATATTGGACACCAAAGAACATGACCACTGAAAAGTCAGCATTAATGCAAGAACCTTCCACGTAATGCAAAAGAATGTTTTTAAAGCGCTAAACAGCTAGGAACTGTAGTGAGGCAAAGGTTGTGCACAAAAGAACAGGCACCACTAGAAATGCACACGCAATGCTATTCAGGAAACAGAAGCAGAAGATAAGAACTAGATCAGAGCAAGACAGCGAGCGTACTCTATTCTCCTAGGATTAAATGCATGCCAGAGTGGCTAGGCCAACAGGGGTGCCTAGTCTGCCATTCTGGCCACCTGAAAACGCACTCACGTTTCTAACCTCTTCCTTGCTCACTCACTCTCTCTCTCTCTCTCTCTCTCTCTCTTTCTCTCTCTCTCACACACACACACACACACACTCACACATACACACTCACTCACACGCCCACACACACACACACACACACATACACACTCACACACACACACACACACACACACACACACACACACACGCACACGCACACACACACACACATGAATACACACACACACAAACACACACACACACACACAAACACACACACACACATACACACACAACTGCGCAAGAATAACATGACATTGGCGTACCCATGACAAGGAGCATTGCGATCAAGAGGAATGGATATCTGGTGTTTGCCACGGCTCCCTTTCCTCACGCCACGTACTGACCTCCAGAGATGTTAATCAGATGTCCGTAACTGTTCGGGTGTTGTTTGACAGTTCCAAATTTGCACTACATTGGCTGGGATCAAACTGAAGAGGATCCACGATGGTAATCGTTGCAGGACTTCCAGCTACATGGTGATCTCCAATCATGGCTGATACCTGCACTGAACCCTTCTTTCCGGTCGTCTTGTACGTTGCAATCATGTTAGTACCTTCATTAGGACTACAGTCAGACATCATCACCGGTTCAATCATGCTAGTGCTGTTGTTGTCTACAGATGTTACTTCAATGTGAACACTAGACAGATGTGCCTCCGTCACAGCCAGACTATTACCGCGGCCATTCCGTGGCTCAATGATCACGGTAAGGTCGTCTCCCTCCACAACACTGGCTGCAGTAGTCATGCTACTCTTCTCCGATGACAGTACACCTTTGTCACTCACCACACCAGTTCTGGCAATGGCCGCTGTAAGCTCCTCGCCATGGCATGGTGAAAACGATAGCGTTCCCGGAGAAAATACCCTCACATCTCTCTCGGACACACGCACCACATTCTTCGCTGCTTCCACCAGCCATCCGCTCATCTTCAAGAAATTCACATCGTCACAGTTCTGTGCAAGATATTGAACCTTCGTGCTATACGATGCACCAGCAAGTAAGCTCTGCCTCTCGTCTTGAATGGGAAGAAGATAAGACAACTGCAACTGCTCTACCTCATGCAGAAGCTCCTGCTGACGTTTCTCAATGTCTTTCTTCAGACCACCAAAAACGTCATTGATCCGGTAGTTCACACCTTCTCTCTCTTCACGGAGTTCGCTCAGTTTCGCCTCAGTCTTCTTCAAGTTCTTGATCAACACCTCAAAAACACTGCCACTTCCACGTGACGTGCTAGTCAGCTTGGTTTTCAAGGACTGGCGAATGCTAGCAGATGCCATAGTGGTAGTCTGCACATTGTGAGCATCATGATCACCACTGCTTACACATTGCCTACACAATAGCTGTTCACAAGTCATGCAGTACGAATCCTGCACAGACGAGGGGTGGAATGAGCATTTGTGCTTGCTGGCTGATTTACTATCATCTGTATGTGCCGCAATCTCACGGTGTGTCACAACCTTGTGTCTGTACGACCTGCGTGAGGTTGGGTGCACCCTGGCATGGTCAGTGCATAGATTGTCGCCACAGTCCAAGCAAACTGCAACTGCTGTAGTGTCCTCAGCACACTCAGCACACACTGACTCCTGGCGACCAGCACTTGCAGCAGCTACCTCTTCTCCAAACCCGTAACTAGACACATCACTATCCGGCAGGAACTGCAGCAAAGCCACACCAGCCAGTGGTGGTGGCGGAGTGACTGTACCACATTCAGTACAAATCACAGAGCCCTTGCTACGGGTATGTTTTTCCAAACACTGCACACATAACGAGTGCAAACACCTCAGCAGCTTGCCATGCTTACTGCTGCTTCTACATGACCCACATTCCGGTCTGGACATGGCGTATCAACACAGCTACACGCACACAACACCCTGAATTCAATCTGTCGTGTAATAGCTACAACAACACAGAACACTGGCCTGACTGTGGCTCAAAGGCAAAGTTACTCTACGTACCACTGCCGTACAACACCAAATTGCAAAGGACTTGTTTGGCACAAATGATCTTCTGCCATCAATTTCTGCATCTATAATTATAGTATATCATAGCCAGCTTATGCTGAGCGAATGAGGATGCTAGGAGTAGTATGCTGGAAACCTCGGGAAAGTAAGACTGCACTACACGTCGGCACTTGCACTACGGGCACTACACGTAGGTCTACGTGGCGTTGACAGTACTATAATACTTAATAGTACAGTCGGTATCATTCTTTACTTATAATAATAAGAGGCACCTGTGACGTGTGTTTGTCTGTGTGTCACGCTCAGGCCATGCTGCGGAGCAGCGCTGCGTTGAGCACGCGAAGCGTGCGAACAGTGTAGCTAGCGGCCGCAGAAGCACTGAGCACGCGAAGCGTGCGAATCGTGTAGCTAGCGGAAGCAGCTAGCCTGGCCTAGCTAGCTAGCCACAGAAGCACTGAGCACGCGAAGCGCGCGTGTAGCCACCACCACGTGCTGAGCACGTGTGCTGTTCATGTACTTGCACCCGCCCATGCATGCCACGTTCGGCCAGGCAACGCTGGCCGGGGGTGCTGCTAGTCGCCTACATGTATAAGGTTGGCGGCTATAGTAATATACCGGACATAGTGATCAATTATTTCTCAAATTCATTTTCATTTGCCATAACGAAGTATACACAGTTATCGCGTATAGTAATAATCGTATAGTAATATATCGCCTATAGTAATCGAATTCATATTTCAAAAGACGTTTATTACACTATTTTTGCATCGGTTATAGTGACTGATGTAAAATCAAGCGATGTCAGAGGAGAACAGGGTGTTACTTCTTCGTGAAGAACTTGTCCAGTGAGTGTTGTTTAGTGAGTTTTGCTTGTACAAGTTGCCAAAATATGCCTCCATCATGAGGAAATGCTGATTTTGTGTGTCAGGAGCTACAGCCAGCTACATGACATTGTACATGTATGTAGTGCGTATGTGCACGGCGCGCTGAGTCGTTTGACACCCCACTCGCATACATTGCATGCAGTATCGGTCATAGTAATTATATCGCTTATTGTGGTAAAATGCTCAAAATCAAACACCAACGCTATAGACGATACTGACTTTTTTTTTTTTTTTTTTTTTTTTTTTTACTAAGTACACAACCTACTCGTCAGAAGGGGAGAAGACAACAGAGTATACAATGACAAAACAGCAGGGAGAGTAGGGGCTGCAAAGCAAGCCTGTGCTGGTGAGGCAAGCCCACAACACCGACCTATGGTCTCGGCGTTAACGTGAGCTTGCGCACCATAGCCTAAAAGAAGGGGGTGATTTAGTGCGATAAAGACAAGAGAAGGTGAGGTAGAATGGATGAGGAGAAAGAAAGAGAGAGAGAGAGGGGGGGGGGGTGGAGAAAAAGAGAGAGAGAGAGAGAGAGAGAGAGAGAGAGAGAGAGAGAGAGAGTGAGTGAGTGAGAGAGAGGGGTGGAGGGGGGTGGAGAGAGAACAAGAAGAGAGAAAAATAGATTCAAAGGCAGTTCAGATGCAGTGAACACAAGGTGACTGTACAACTGCCACTACACGTACAGGTACGTGGCGTTGAACGTTGGCACAACTGCCACTACACGTACAGGTACGTGGCGTTGAACGTTGGCACAACTGCCACTACACGTACAGGTACGTGGCGTTGAACGTTGGCACAACTGCCACTTCACGGATACACGTGATGTAGGCACTACCGGTACTATAACTTTATAAGTGTAATCTGAGGTAGGGTTAGGGTTATTTCATGCACCCTCTTTGGTGATGTCATTACATTGATTGTGATGGCTTTCGTCGGATTGTCACTTTGTTAGAATCTTAATCGCCATGCGCCAACCAAACTCCACCGACTCGAGATGCAGGCGAAAGTGACGTGGATTCTAGTAGCAAATGTTGATCACTCTGCAAATATGGCTGAGTGTTCGAACTGTAGACAAGAAGTCAGTGGGTGTGTGTGCTGCATATCGCTCTGGCTCCTGCCACGACAACGACATTAGTACAGTGATAAAAGGCCTCTTTTACGGGCAAACAGAATACAACTGACAGTGGCATGGCGAATGATTAGAACACAACACGACGTAATAGTACAGTACTCTCGAAGCCATCACTCATCAGTGCGGGCATCGACCTAGTACCAGAGTACTAGTACCTGGCCCGTAAATCCTCTCAGTACATGAACATGTATGTGGTATAGGCCGTCGAAGTCTGACGTCACAGCTTCTTGACAACGCGTAGTTTACTAGTAGTAGTAACTTTACTTGGCCAAGTGATGACAAACAAAAGTCGCGTCACCTTCACTTGTACCTATAGTCCGCAGTCCAAGTGCTCAAAATGTAGCCCTAAAAAAATTCCGTTCGCCACGACGGGGCACCAAGGTTTGATGTGGGGGCCTGAAAGAGGACCCCTTGAGGTACCCAAAACAGTCGAGAAGTGCTTCTAGATCTGGGGCGCTCTCTCGATAGAGGCGATTTTCTTCGGGGCAAATCCATGCACAAATTTCGCGGAGCGTAAGTTTGAGCATGCATCAAACCCACTCAAAAGTTCAAATTTGAAATATCGCACACTTGGAGTGCCACGTGGTGCGCTTCAGATGTAAAAACGTATTCCTGGACGGTACTCTGTAGTATTTAGGTTCTACTTCTAGGTCGATCGGGTGTGCCTCGCCTATGCCATGGTTTCACGTATTTTGGCAATACCACCTGCAGTGATGAGCTCCTGCCGAGTGCTGGCCGGCCTGGTACATGGTGCTATCTCCTCTGTACTGGAACCCGAAACGAATAGAACTCTGAAGTGTATTCACACAATGCCAAGTGCCAAATATTCTGACAGCCTGCACGGCATCCGAGGAGTCCGCAGTTCGATGGACATGGCTCATCAATCGCTACGAGCCCCTGTTGTTGAACCAGAACTTAAAAAATATGCCTGTTTTGTGGCACGCTGAAACAAATAAGCGAGCTGTACAACCAAGCAGGCGACATCTCAACTCGTGAGAGTGGAAGCAGAAAAGAAATAATTGCGGAACGCTGCTGCCACACGACAAGATCAAAGGATTATGGCAGCAAGCTCAGCGAATCTGATCGCTAGAGAGGTACACTACCATAAGTCTTGCTATCATTCATGCACTTATGCAGAAACTCTCGCTAGGATTGTAGCAAGCAGACAAAAGACGCACATTGCAGACCTCACTGCCTCATCGAATTCCTGGGAGGATGATTTCTTCTCTGCTGTAGGCAGTGAACTACTTGATGACTGTGTTCAGGGGCGTAGCCAGGATAGTGATCAAGGTGGTTTCCTCGACGTTCCCACACAAAAGAGCATGCCTTCATTGTGGTCCTTTCATGTCGGCCGATATTTATATATTTTGTTATTACACAGGCAGAAGAACGTGCAGTTGCTGCTTCGTAACTCTGAGTTTCATGAACTGAATCAATCCGATCAGACGAACATTGATACTGACCTTGGCCTGAGAGTGCTACTAATACTAAGTCCGCTGCGCTTGCCACATTCATGGTATAAAAAAAATAATATATTATATCAGTACTCTCAGGGCAGGGTCAGTATCAATCTTCGTCTGATGATCGATTTAGTTCGTGAAACTGAGAGTTACGAAACTGCAACCGCTCGTTCTTCAGTCTGTGTATTCCGCTCTTTGTCTTCGGCAAATTGAGCCGTCTACGGACAGTGGATGAACGTCACATGGTATATTTTGTTATCATGAACACAACGGCTCTACGGAGAAACATGTGGAGAACATAACGGCATAAAACAAGACATTCAAAGCGGATGATGTACATTATAAGGAAGACGTGCCGCACTGTGTACCGCACTAACCATTCCAAAATGGCCAATCATCCGACGAAATAGTCAAGTGCAAGTAAGAACGCGTAGATTGGTTTCAGATTAAAAAAACCCACGTAAGTCCGAACAGGGATGGCTACAGTGTGCGATGTGTAGAGTTATGGTCCGCGCGTTATGGTCTTTCTTGAACGAGCTGCAAACCAAGATCGAATTCGGTTTTGGGGGGGGGGGGTGTGCTTTGGCACCCCAAACACCCCTTCGAATGCCCCTGGTGTTGTCGTGTCCGCTGCGTAAGTACAGTTAAAAATAGTTCATTCCCTTTGTTTGACCATACCTGGTCTTTGGGTCGCAATATACACAGAGGTTAACTATCAGCATTGTCTAATATTTCTCGGAACTATTTCCCTAGTTCGAAACGAATTTGATGCCGCATTTCTTTATGTTTAGGTGCTGACACACACACACTGCATTTTCAGCCACTGCATTGCTGTAAACCATTACGTTGACTTGCACTTGAAGTAAATGCACTCCTCCTAAGGCCGACTCCAGTGTGCATGGCACGGGTTTTCTCACACCAGTCTCCATACATGTAATTAATTAACTCGTCTCATCCGGTTTTCTTTGTGTATTTTGTGTCCACATGTAATTCTAGAACATATAATTATTAGTATTATTGCTTTGAACTCATCCGTTATGCGATAGTGTGGTTGTAGGTGCACACTGCAAGGTAGTACATGACATGACAACTGTGTCGTGTTGCGTCATACTGTGCAGTACTATTTCTCCTCTCTACATGCCTATACTTCATCCAAATTCAGTAACATTCCGCATGCTGGCTCTCCTCAGCCTCTGTGGCTCGAATACAGTTCACAAACATCGCTATGATGCTTGCAATAGCCTCAAAATTCAAATTCATGA